GGCGGCGCCGGTCCCGCGGGTGCGGCGCGCTCCGGTCCCGGTCCCGGTCCCGGCCATGGCCCAGCGCGGCGGCCCCGCGGTGCTCCCGGACAACCCCTTCCAGGACCCCGCGGCGCTGCAGGCGCGGCCCGGCGCCGTGCTGGATGGCTACAACCCCTTCGAGAGCGACGCGGTGAGCGCCGGGGCCTGCCCGCCCACCGGGGCCTGCCCGCGTACCGGATCTTCCTCCCGGGCAGCGGAGCCCTCCCCGCCGCCGGCGCGGTCTCACCTGTCTCTGCTCTATCCCCGCAGCCGCCGCCGCCGTTCCAGACCCCCTCGGTAGCGCCGCCGCCGCCGGTCGCGGCGGGCGCGCAGCCCCCGCGGAAGGCGAGTCCCACCGAGCCCCGCAACTACGGCTCCTACGGCTCGCAGGTACGGGGCAGGCGCCGCCGGCCCGGCACGCGGGCGCCGGCGGCAGCCCAAGGTTTGTGTCCCGCCGTGTCTCCGCAGGCCTCGGCCGCCGCCGCCACGGCGGAGCTGCTGAAGCGGCAGGAGGAGCTGAACCGGAAAGCGGAGGAGCTGGACCGGCGGGAGCGGGAGCTGCAGAACGCGGCGCTCGGCGGTTCCCAGAGTGAGTGGCTGCGGGGCTGGGCAGGGACGGGACCCCCCGGGAGCCTTCCTCGCTCCTCCTCACCGCCTTCCGCCCGCAGCGAGGCTCAACAACTGGCCCCCGCTGCCGTCCTTCTGCCCGGTGAAGCCGTGCTTCTACCAGGACATCCCCGTGGAGATCCCCGCGGACTTCCAGAAGACAGTCACAACCATGTACTACCTCTGGATGGGTGAGTCTGGGGGGGAAACCTCGGGGCAGAGCCCGGCAGCAGGTGGAAGGATGAATTTCCTGGGCAGCAGGTGGAAGGATGAATTTCCTGTGAATTTCTGGGGAAGTTGGGATGAACAGGTGGTGGTGGGGGTTGGGGGAGCCTGGCTGGGCTCCTGAGCGCCGTCCTGTCCCCCAGCCAGCACCATTGCTCTGTTCATGAACTTCCTGGCCTCGCTCGCCTGGTTCTGCGTGGATCCCAGCTCTGGCTCTGGCTTTGGCCTCTCCATCCTCTGGGCCCTGCTCTACACGCCCTGCTCCTTCGTCTGCTGGTACCGGCCCATGTACAAAGCCTTCAGGTGTGTCCCCCCGCCCTGGGCACCCCCTCCAGCTCCTGGGAGCCTCTGGCTCTGCAGGATGTGCTGTTCCACCCCGAGCTCCCTGCTCTCCTGCTTCAAGGAAGGTTTAACAGCTTCCTTCTGTGCCCGTTTCTCCCTCCCAGGAGCGACAGTTCCTTCAACTTCTTTGTCTTCTTCTTCGTGTTCTTTGCCCAGAACGTGATGTATGTGCTGCAGGCCATCGGCATCCCCAACTGGGGGTTCAGGTGGGCTGTGTGCTGAGCCTGCAGAGGCAGGGCTGGGTGGGGAGCAGGGCAACCGGGGGCCTCAGCCTCTTGTTTTGCAGTGGCTGGATCCTGAGCCTGATAGCGCTGCGGACTAACACGGCCGTGGCCGTGATGATGATCATGGTGTCCCTGTCCTTCACGGCAGTGGCTGTGCTGGGCATCATTATGCTGAAAAAGGTGGGTTAGGATCAAAGCCTGCACCAGAGCCATCCCTGATCCCTTTTGGGGGAGGTTTGGGCCAGCACAACTCTGTTTACCCGGGGTCTGCAGCCAGGGCCATCCCTGATCCCTTTTGGGGGTCAAAACTGTTTGTGAGGGACTTGTAGATAAAGCTATCCCTCATCCTTTTTGGGGGAAGTTTGGACCATCACAGCTCTGTTTACTAAGGACCTGCAGCCAAAGCCATCCCTGATCCCTTTTGGGGGAGGTTTGGGCTATCACCCCTCTTTTTACCTGGGGTCTGCAGCCAGAGCCATCCCTCATCACTTTTGGGAGAAATTTGGGCCATCACAACTTTGTTTACCTGGGGTCTGCAGCCAGAGCCATCCCTGATCCCTTTTGGGGGTCACAACTGTGTTTACCAGGGCCTTGCAGCTAAAGCCATCCCTCATCCTTTTTGGGGGAAGTTTGGGCCATCACAGCTCTGTTTACCTGGAGCCTGCAGTTGGTGGTCACAACTCCACTTAACAGGGGCTTGAGCCATCCCTCATCCTTTTGGGGAGAAATTTGGGCCACGACAACCCTGTTTGCCAGGGGCTTGCAGCCAAAGCCATCCATGATCCCTTTTGGGGGAGGTTTGGGCCATCACAGCTCTGTTTACCCGGGGTCTGCAGCCAGAGCCATCCCTGACCGCTTTTGGGGGAAGTTTGGGCCATTACAGCTCTGTTTACCCGGAGCCTGCAGCCAGAGCCATCCCTGATCCCTTTTGGGTCAAAACTCTGTTTATCAGGGCCTTGCAGCTAAAGCCATCTGTCATCCTTTTTGGGAGAAGTTTGGGCCATCACAGCTCTGTTTACCCGGGGTCTGCAGCCAGAGCCATCCCTGACCCCTTTTGGGGGAAGTTTGGGCCATCACAGCTCTGTTTACCCGGGGTCTGCAGCCAGAGCCATCCCTGATCCCTTCTGGGGTAGCTTTGGGCCATCACAGCCACATTTACCCCAGCCCTGATTCCGGCCTCTGCTGCCCTGCAGATCCACTCCCTGTACCGCCGCACGGGTGCCAGTTTCCAGAAGGCCCAGGAGGAGTTTGCAGCCGGGGTTTTCTCCAACCAGGCCGTGCGCACGGCCGCGGCCAACGCCGCCGCGGGCGCGGCCACCAGCGCCTTCCGTGCCCCGTAGCCGTGTGCTGCCCGGCCCTGCCCGCCGGGCTCCTCCCGAGGGAGAGGAAACGCCGGTCGCACTTTCACTGGATCCCCATCGGCTGTCAGAGTTGGCCTCATCCCAGCTTGGAAGTGCTGGTGCCTGAATGGTCTGCTGCTCTTACCCCCCTTGCTGACGGACAGAGGCTGTGCTGGTTTGTGCTGGTCCCCTCCCCTCGGCGGGGCGGGGAGTGCTGGGGCCGAGCCCTGAGCCATCGCCCTCCCTTCCAGCGCCAGCTGCTGGGGGCAGGAGCCTCCTCCAGATGGCTGGAATGGAACGCTGCTCCCAGGGACTGCGACGGTCACTTGCCTTCCTTGTGCTCTCCCGTTTCCCCGCCTGGTGATGACACTTGTGCTCCCTTAGGGTGTGGAGGGTCCCCTGCCCCCCGTGTGCCCAGGGACCCCCATGCTCTGCCAAGAACGTCATCCCCCTCTTCCTCCTGGGGCTTGCTCCGGCGGGATGAGGATGGGGCTGGTGCTTTCCCCAGGGTGTCTCGTCCTTTTGTCCTGTCCCTTTCCCCATCCTCTCCCTCTCTTCAGGATGAGGAGGGCAGGGCAGGGACAGGCAGGGCTCGGGCAGCTGCTGCTTGTGGGGATCCTGCCTTTAGCCCAAGTGGACCCCAAAGCTGGGCTGGGTGCTGAGGAGCAGCCCTGGCGTTTACATGGCACCCCCTGCCTCCAGGGAGGGCTGAACAGCCCCTCCAGGCCCCCTCCCCACTGCTTGGAGGACTGAGACCCCCTTGCTGCCCCCAGCTCCCTTCACGCTCCTCGGGGGCTGAGCCAGCCCCGCCTCCCCCTTCCCTGCCCTCTGTCCCCTGTCCCTGGGGATCCCCAGGACACGTCTCACGCGTTGTGCTTCAGTCCATCTCCTCTCGGGTGCTCCCGGTTTGTCCCCGCAGCCCCGGGGCTGGCTTTGTGCCTTCAGCTGTGGGGGCCGGTGCCCTCCCGGTCCCGCTCCTCCGCTGCTCCCCGTGTGCTCTTCCCCGACCGCTCCCGGTTTATTTAAGGAATAAATGAAGGTTCACTCTCTTCCTTCGCCGTCTCCGTGCGCCTCCCGGGGCGGGGGGGCGCAGCGGGGCCGCTGCCGGTGCCGCCGCTCCCGGGGGCGGTGTGGATGGACTACAGCTCCCGTCGTGCCGCACAGGGGCGGCCCCGGGGCGGGCGCGGCCGAGCAGCCTCCGCTCCGTGGGACCGTCTGCCCCGGGGGCCGCGTCCCGGGCGGCGGCTCTCGGAGCCCGCGGGGCGGGATGATCTCCCGGCGGCGGCCCGGCGCTCCACCGACGGCCAGGGAGGAGGCGGCGGTGCCGGGGCCGCGCTCCGTGTGCGGGCTCTAGGCGCGCCCCGGGCTGGCTGCGCAGGGAGCGGCGAGACCGCTTCTGTTCTCCGCGGAGCTTCTCCCGGCCCCGCGTGGCCGGGGGCGCTGCCCGAGCCCCCCCGCCCGGGGCGGTGAAGAGCCACCGTCAGCATCCTCCGGCGAGCCGAAAGGTGGAGCCCGGCCCGTTCCCGCAGAGCGGCTGCTCCTGCTCCCCGCGGTCCTGGCGCGGTGCCGCCGGCTGCCCCGGGGCTCCGGGCCCGGCCCCGAGCCGCCGCCCGCCGCGGCCATGCCCTCCCCCACCGACTCCAGCCGCTCGCTGACCGGCCGCAGCTCCCGCAGCCTCACCCACCTCCGCCTCCAGCGCACCTGGCTGCAGGTCCTGCTGGTCCTGGGGCTCGTGCAAGCCGTCCTGGGCGTCCTCATCGTCACCTTCAGCCTGGTGGCGGCCACCATCACTCCCTCCACCAAAATCCGGCAGTCCTGCCCGTCCTGGGCCGGCTTCTCGGTGAGTGCGGGGCCGAGGGGCGCGGGGAGGGGGCTGCAGCGCTCCCCGGGGGCCGGGCTCGCCGCCGGTCCCGGGGGAGGGCAGCCCCGCTGCTCCCCCACCCTCTGCCCGTGGCTGCCGCGGTGCATTGTGGGAGAATCCCAAGGGCTCCCCCAGGGTGACTCTGTGAGGGATGGGGACCCCCAAGGGGCGCGGGGGGATGTCCGGGGTACGCAGCCACGGGCGGGGAGGGGTGTGGGGGCACCACAGGGCAGGGACAGGGGGGCGATGGGGGCTCTGCTCCGTCTGCTGGGTACTGGGGGAGGGCAGCACCCGGGGTCCCCCGTGGTGACCCTGCAGCACGGATCCTGGCCTGGGTTTGTGCCCAGCCGGAGCAGCCCGCAGTCCCCAGGCCCTGAATCAGCAGTTTCTCCCTTGTCGTGGCGCCAGGGCTGCTCCTACAGCCCCACTGCTCCCGGGCTGGCTGCAGGCCTGCAGGGAGCGGGGGGCTCTGCCCGCGGGCAGGGGCTGCTCGGAGCCCTTTTGCCCCACAGAGCCCTCTCCCTGTGCTCACCGCGGGGCTTGTGCACCTGCAGCTGGCACTGTCCGGGCTGGTCGGCATCATCTCCTGGAAGCGGCCGCTCACCCTGGTGGTAGGTGTAGGGGGGACACCTTCCCGCAGGCGGGGGAGCCCAGGATGGGGAGGCCGAGCAACCCCCCCGTGCCCCCGGGCGCTCAGCCGGCTCCCTGCGCCGCCGGCAGCCCCTCTCCTCCCGCCGCAGATCGCCTTCTTCACGCTGCTCTCGGTGCTGGGCCTCATGCTGAGCCTCGCCGGCTCCATCCTGTCGTGCCAGAACGCGCAGCTGGTGAAGACGCTGGAGGCCTGCGAGAGGGTGAGGCTGAGCCGCGACCCCCGGGCTCGCTCCTGGCTGCGGGGGGCTCTGGGGAGCGGCGGAGCTGGGGTCTGGCGGCTCCCAGGGGATAGCACGGCATCCAGAGCTTCCTCGCAGTGCCTCTCGTCCCCAGGAGAGGGACACGTGTGTGTGCTGCCAGCCCCGCTCGGAGCCCCCGCCCGCCTCCTGCAGCCAGCAGAGCGAGATGCTGACCATGTTCCCCACCCCCAACTGCCGGAGCATCCGTGTGGCACTCAAGGTGGAGGAGCAGGGGGATACCAGGGCTCCCCGGGAAGCGGCCGCAGCCCCGGCCACGCTCTGCGGGCTCTGCAGCTCACCCCACTGCTCCCCAGGATCTCCTCTTCAGTGTCTGCGGCTTGACCGTCTTCTCCACCATCATCTGCATGCTCTCTGCTGTCGTGTGCTGCATCCAGATCTTCTCCCTCGACATCGTCCACGTGGTGAGTGCCAGCTCTGGCCCAGGAATAGCTCCCGGGCTGGGGTGGTCCCTGGGGTGCAGATTAAAGGCCAGGATGCACATCCCTTGCTGGATCTCAGGGCAGGAGGTCTCAGCTCTCCCTTGTCCCCTCTCCCTGCAGCTGGTCCCACAGCGCTCGAGCTCTGTGACACTGGAGTGCACGTCCCCACCCGACACCTTCCTGCAGAGCATGATGATGGACTTCGAGGAGTTTGTGCCTCCAGTGCCACCGCCCCCCTACTACCCCCCTGAGTACACCTGCAGCTCCGAGACGGATGCACAGAGGTACCAGCTGGGAGCAAGGCTGGCAGGACAGGGGGGCCCGTGCGCCCCCAGGCTGGGCTCGTCCCACCCAGAGTGGCTTTTTCTGCTCTTGCCTCCACAGCATCACCTACAACGGCTCCATGGACAGCCCCGTGCCCCTCTACCCAACCGATTTCCCCCCGTCCTATGAGACTGTGATGGGGCTGCGGGGAGACAGCCAGGTGGGGGCTGTGGGGCCGTGGGCAGGGCAGGCTGGGCAGGATGGGCTGCTGCTGAGCTGAGCCCTGAGCCCGCTGTCCCACAGGCCACCCTGTTCGACTCGCAGCTGACAGAGGGCTCCCCCGCCTGCACCTGCGACCGCGTCCCCTCCATCGTGCTCAGCGGGGAAGGTGAGTGTTCCGGTGCTCCCCCCGGGCACGGGCGTGGCGGCGGGGCCGTGGCAGCTCCGGCTCTTCCCAGCAGCTCCTCTCCTCGCAGTCTCCATGGACAGCGGGTCCCTGATCATGTCCGAGATCATGGACATCCCCGGCGACAGCAGCCCCTCGGAGGACTCGTGCCTGCTGGAGCTGCAGGGCTCCATGCGCTCCGTGGATTACGTCCTGTTCCGCTCCATCCAGCGCAGCCGCGCCGATTACTGCCTGAGCGTGGACTGCGTGCAGTGCAGCCACCACGCCCGCAGCCCCACGCTGGGCTTGCAGGGCCCCTTCGAGGAGCGGCCGCAGCCCCGCGTGCGGGGCGAGCGATCCTACTCGTGCTCCACGGCGGAGCCCGGCCCCGACGGCATCCTGGCGGGGGGAGCCGTCACCCACAGCTGCAACCGGCTGGTGGGGCCGGGGCGCTGCGCCGGGCCCTGCTTCCCCGAGGTGCGGCTCAAGGACAGGGGATCCTCGCTGCGGGGCCGCGGGGCTGGCCGCCCCACGGACACGGACACGGCCGCCGGCCGCCCCCGCCGCAACAGCGAGACCTCGTGCCCTTCGTCCCCGGCCCCGGGGCTGGCCCCGCGCCCGCTCCTGCGGTCTCACAGTGACCCCGGCGTGCCCATGGCTGGCCGTGCTGGTAGGTGACAGCGACAGGCAGGGGAGTGTGGCGGTGTCTGTGCGGGGCGGCCGGGATGTGCCGCAGGGTTGGGCTGTGATTTTCTGCGGCCAGGCTGGGAAGGAACGGGGGGAGCAGGGGAGTCTGCTGGGCTGGGAGCAGCAGTGCTGGAGGGTTGTGCTGCCCAGGCCTGAGGGCTCTCTCTGCTCCCAGCAGATTTCAGGGAAGTACTTTATACCAAAGCACTGGAGGACACCGTGTCCGACTCCTCCGCTGATACAGGTCAGGGCACTGGGGTGTACTGGGAGAGAAAGGGGGCACAGGGGGGTGTCTGTAGCACTCTGGGGACTGAGCTCACCCTGCTGGGGCTGGGGCAATGGGGCCAGTGGTGGGACTGCTCCTGCTGACTGGGGATGGGACACAGCAGGACTCCAGGCCTCTGAGGATAGGTCTGCTGGGAGCAGCATCCTGGGGTGTGACAGTGGGGACAGGTCCATCAGAGCAGCCTCCTGGGTCTGTTGAAGCAGTGTCCCAGGTCTGATGGTGGGGGTGGATCCATCAGAGCACTGTCCTGGACCTGACAGTGGGGACAGGTCCATCAGGGCAGTGTCCTGTGCCTGTCAGAGCAGTGTCCTGGGTCTGATGACGAGGACAGGACTGCCAGAGCTGTGTCCTGTGTGTGACAGTGGGGACAGGTTCATCAGAGCATTGTCCCAGGTGTGATGATGAGGACAGGACTGTCAGAGCAGTGTCCTGGGTCTGACAGTGGGGACAGGTCCATCAGAGCAGTGTCCTGTGCCTGTCAGAGCAGTGTCCTGGGTCTGACAGTGGGGACAGGTCCATCAGAGCACTGTCCTGTGCCTGTCAGAGCAGTGTCCCAGGTGTGATGACGAGGACAGGACTGTCAGAGCAGTGTCCCAGGTCTGACAGCACTCACCCCCCAGGGCTGTGCTCCGAGGCCTGCCTGCTCCACCGTTCCCACTGTGACTCCCCTCCGCTGCTCCGGGCTGGCTCCGTGGGGAAGAACAAGCTGCCACCCTGCAAGAAGGTGCCACAGCAGCTGTCAAAGACAACCACCCGCTCCCTGGGGGACCTCAAGGGCTACCGGGGCACCCGTGGGCTGGTGGCCAGGTTCCTGCAGAGACCCAAGCGCAGCCTGGCAGCTGGCACAGAGGTGTCTGGGCACAGCTTCCACGGGCACAAACAGGTGGGTTCTGGAAGCTACAGGGGATGGGCAACTCCTCCTTCCCAGAGAACTCCCATCCGCGCTCTCCTCCCTTCTCTCCCCATCAACACCTCCACCCTGGCGCTTCCATTGTTCCCCTGCTGCACCCCCATGACGGCACTCACCCCCCAGGGCTGTGCTCCGAGGCCTGCCTGCTCCACCGTTCCCACTGTGACTCCCCTCCGCTGCTCCGGGCTGGCTCCGTGGGGAAGAACAAGCTGCCACCCTGCAAGAAGGTGCCACAGCAGCTGTCAAAGACAACCACCCGCTCCCTGGGGGACCTCAAGGGCTACCGGGGCACCCGTGGGCTGGTGGCCAGGTTCCTGCAGAGACCCAAGCGCAGCCTGGCAGCTGGCACAGAGGTGTCTGGGCACAGCTTCCACGGGCACAAACAGGTGGGTTCTGGAAGCTACAGGGGATGGGCAACTCCTCCTTCCCAGAGAACTCCCATCCGCGCTCTCCTCCCTTCTCTCCCCATCAACACCTCCACCCTGGCGCTTCCATTGTTCCCCTGCTGCACCCCCATGGTGTCGGCACCCTGGCTGCAGGCAGAGCGTTCTTCCTGCAGCACTGTCCTTGCCCAGCCCTTCCTGGGGGGCAGCTCCTTTTCCTTGATCCCCACTGGAGCCACAACTGGGAAAATCGTGCCTGTTGCAATGGCTTTGCCTTTGCCCCTGAGTCACTGCACCCGGAGGCAGCTGCTGGGACATCCCCACAACTCAGCTTTACGGGACACCGGCGTCCTTGCGCAGCCCAGGAGGCCCTGACGGGACCCAACCTGTCCCAAATGCCAGTGTGGGCGCGTGATGCACGCCTCTGCCATCCCTGTCACCTCTGTCCTCCTGCCCTGTGCGCTGCCTGGCCGCGCTGCAGCGTGGAGGGCTGAGCACAGGGGGGTGAGTGCAGGAAGGTGCCATGGGCAGGGGTGCCACGGGCAGGGGTGCAGTGCAGTGTCCCAGGTGTGATGACAAGGACAGGACTGCCAGAGCAGTGTCCTGTGTGTGACAGTGGGGACAGGTTCATCAGAGCAGTGTCCCAGGTGTGATGACGAGGACAGGACTGTCAGAGCAGTGTCCTGGGCCTGTCAGAGCAGTGTCCCTGGTCTGATGGGGCAGGGGTGTCATGGGCAGGGGTGTCATGAGCAGTGGTGCCACAGGCAGGGGTGTCATGGGCAGGGGTGTCACAGGCCATGGGCAGGGATGTCACAGGCAGCGGTGCCACGGGCAGTGGTGCCATGGGCAGGGGTGCCACAGGCAGGGGTGTCATGGGCAGGGGTGTCACAGGCAGCGGTGCCACGGGCAGGGGTGCCACAGGCAGGGGTGTCATGGGCAGTGGTGCCACGGGCAGGGGTGCCATGGGCAGGGGTGCCACAGGCAGGGATGTCACGGGCAGCGGTGCCATGGGCAGTGGTGCCACGGCAAGGGGTGTCATGGGCAGGGGTGCCACAGGCAGGGGTGCCATCCCTGTTGCTGCAGCCTGTCCCCACGCCTTGCAGGTTCCCTGGAGTGCCTGGCCGGGCGCAGAGCGGCCCCACGAAGGAATCCACCTGCAGAGCTGCGGGGACCTGAGCTCCACGTCGTCCCTGCGGCGGCTCCTGTCCGCGCGGCGCCTGGAGCGCGGCCGCCCCCGGAGCCTCAGCGGGGCCTGCAAGGAGAGCGCGCTCTGAGGGCACGGTCCCTGCGGGGACCCTCCACTCTGGGGGGCAGCCCCGCTCTGGAATCAGCCCTGGACATTGCTCGGACGTTGCTGCTGCTGCCCTGGTGGGGCTGGGCCCTGCACTGCTGCCCCGGGGGTTCAGCTGGGCCCCCTCCCCAAGTTTGGGGCTGGTCCCCTGGGGTGTCTGCTGGGGGGCCGGGACAGCTGTGCCTGTCCCCTGCCTGTCTGGGGTGGTTATGCCTGTTCCTTGCCCTATTCCTTCTTCTGGACATGCCTGTCCCTTGCCCTGTCCCTTGTGCCAGCTGTGCCTATTCCCTGGGATGGCCACGCCTGTCCCCTGCCCTGTCCCGTGTTGTGGCTGTGCCTGACCCATGCACTGGCCATACCCTGTCCCCTGTGCCAGCCGTGCCTGTAGCCTGGCATGGCCGCGCCTGTCCCCTGTGCCAGCTGTTCCTGTAGCCTGGCATGGCCATGCTGTCCCCTGCCCTGTCCCTTTGGCTGGCTATGCTGGCTTGATCCCCGGTCCCTTGTGCCAGCCATGCCTGTCCCCTGTCCCCTCCACTGGCCGTGCCTGTCTTCTGCCTTGTCCCTTTGGCTGGCCATGCTGGCTTGATCCTCGGTCCCCTGTGCCAGCCGTGCCTGTCCCCTGACCTGTCCCTTGTGCTGGCCTGGTCCCTGGGCTCTGTGCCAGCGCGCCCGTAGCCCGGAACTGCCGTGCCTGTCCCTTGCTCTGTCCCCTGTGCCCCGTTCGGTCCCGGTCCCGGTGCCGGTTCCTCCCCGCCCGGCTGCGCCCGGGCCGCGCTGCGGGGCCGGTCCCGCGGCCGCTGCCCCTCGCTACAGACCGAATAAAGGTGGTCGCCGCCGCCCACGGCGCCGGTGTCACGGGGCGGGCGGGGCGGGGCGGGGCGGGTGCTCAGCTGACCGGTCACGGGGTGCCGGCTCCCGGTTTCCCGGTAGCGGCTCCGCGGGACGGGGCGGCCGGTGCTGTCGGGGCGTGGGGAGGCGGCGGGGACCGGAACCGCGACCGGGACCGGAACCGGGACCGGGAGCGGCTGCGCTTCTCGGGGAGAGGGCGGGGGAAGCGACCCCGTGCCCCCGCGGTTCTGCCGGTTCGCGGAGCCAGAACCGGCGCGGGGGAAGCGCCGGGGCCAGGCCCGCCCAGAGTCGGTGCCGCTCCTGCACCGGGTGTGGGCGGGACGAGCTGCCCCGGCGCCCTTAAAGGCCAGGCCGGCGGCGGAGCCGGTGCTGCCGGGCCGGCTCCGAGCGCACCGGGAGCGGCGGGGCCATGGGGGCTGTCGGTGCCCTGTGCTGGCGGCTGCTGCCGGTGCTGCTGGCCGTGCACCGGGCCGCAGGTGAGCGAGGGGGACCCGGGGGACGCGAGGGTGGAGGGGACGGGGGTCCCCGGGCGGCCCGGAATGGGAGAGGAGGAGGAGGGAATACCTTTGGAGTGCGTGGTCAGGGATGCCCGGGAGTTGTCCGGGGGTCCGGAGGCAGCTCGGTGCCCGGGAGGTGTGGGGGTGTGGAGCACTGGGGGGGTTGGCATCACCCCCGGGGCAGAGCTGGCAGGGACACGTCCCTGGGGCTGCCCCCACCACCCTCCCGTGCCCCCCAGGCGCCCAGCCCTGCAGCCCCAAGTATTTTGGCCGGGATGCCATGGTCTGCGTCTGCAATGCCACCTACTGTGACACGCTGGACCCCCTGGTCCTGCCAGCCCCCGGCTCCTACGTCAAGTACGAGAGCAGCAAGGCCGGCAAGCGGCTGGAGCGCAGCGAGGGGAAATTCCAGCACAAACTCTGCGCCCCAGGTACTGCCACGGATGGCAGGGATGGGATGGACCCTGCAGCAACCCACCGTCACGCTGGGCTCCCCTCCCTGCAGATGTTGTCCTCAGGCTGGACACGACGCAGCGCTTCCAGAGGGTGAAGGGTTTCGGTGGCTCCATCACCGACGCGGCCGCCATCAACATCTTGTCCCTGCCGGAAAGAGCACAGGAGCACCTGCTGCGCTCCTACTTCTCCGAGGAGGGTAGGGCGTGGGGGACACGGGTGGGATGGTGGCAGGGACTGCGGACATCACGGACACCTCGTGTCCCGCTGTGCTGGCAGGGCTGGAGTACAACCTCGTCCGGCTCCCCATGGCCAGCTGTGACTTCTCCCTCCACGCCTACACCTACGACGACGTCCCCTATGACTACGAGCTCGCCCACTTCGCCCTGCGAGACGAGGACACCAAGCTGAAGGCGAGCGGTGGGAGGGAGCAGGGAGGGGTGGAGGGTCCCGGGGGCTGAGCTGAGCTGGCCCCTCCACCTCCTCCTGCAGATCCCCCTCCTGCAGCGAGCCTCGGCCATGAGCAAGCGGCCGCTGTCGCTGTACGCCAGCCCCTGGACCTCCCCCACCTGGCTGAAGACCAGCGAGTCCTATGTGGGGAAGGGGACACTGAAGGGGCAGGCAGGGGACAAGTACCACAAGACTTGGGCCAACTACTTTGTGCGGTGAGGAGCTGCTGGGGCCGGGGGAGCGGGGTGATACCCGGGGGACCCTCAGTGGTGGCACTTGGGGACTCCTCACGGCTCACCCCCTCTCCCCACGCCAGGTTCCTGGATGAATACGCCAAGCACAATGTGACATTCTGGGCAGTGACAGCAGAGAACGAGCCCACGGCCGGGCTGATCAACAACTACCCCTTCCAGTGCTTGGGTTTCACAGCTGAGCAGCAGAGGGACTTCATCGCCCGGGACCTGGGCCCGGCGCTGGCCAACAGCTCCCACCGCCACGTCCAGCTCATCATCCTGGACGACAACCGGCTCCACCTCCCGCACTGGGCCAGAGTGGTGAGTGTGCTGCCATCGTGGTGACCCAGGGAGCAGCCCCTGACCTTGTGGGGGCTGGGATTCTCTGTCCCGTGCAGGGCTGGGCCTCTGTGCCCCATGGGGTTGACTCTTCTCCCTGCCAGGTCCTGGAGGATGAGGAGGCAGCTCGCTACGTCCACGGCATTGGCATCCACTGGTACCTGGACTTCATCGGTCCCATACAGGACACAGTGCTGCCCACTCATGAGCTCTTCCCTGACTACTTTATCCTGGCCACAGAGGCGTGCATCGGGGCCCATTTCTGGGAGCGGGATGTGATTCTGGGCTGCTGGGAGCGGGGGAACCAGTACAGCCACAGCATCCTGACGGTGAGGCCCCCGTGTCTCCCTGGGTGCTGGGCCCTGGGCAGGGTTGCTGCTGTTGGGCAGGCATCTGAGCTGTCCTGTTGCAGAATCTGAACCACTTTGTGTCTGGCTGGACTGACTGGAATCTGGCCCTGGATCTGGAGGGGGGCCCTAACTGGGTCAAGAATTATGTGGACAGCCCCATCATCGTGGACAGCAGTGAAGGCATTTTCTACAAGCAGCCCATGTTCTACCACATGGGGCACTTCAGGTGGGTTGGAGCCCACATCATGCACTAAGCTGCCTTGTCCTGAGAGAAACCAGGCAAATTTGGCTTGTGGGGAGCTGTCCTGGGGTCTCCCTGAGGTTGCTTCTCGTTTGTCTGCTCAGTAAATTCATCCCCGAGGGCTCCCAGCGCGTGGGGCTCGTCGCCTCCAGAGAGTCCAAGAAGACAGCGCTGGAGTACACGGCCTTCCTGCGGCCCGACGGGGCTGTGGTGGTGGTGCTGCTGAACCGGTGGGTGATGCAGCCTGGCCCCCTGTGTGGGACCCCCGTCCTGCCAACCCTGTGTGAGACCCCCGTCCTGCCAGCCCTGTGTGGGACCCCCATCCTGCCAGCCCTGTGTGCGATCCCCATCCTGCCAACCCTTTGTGGGACCCCCATCCTGCCAGCCCTGTGTGTGATCCTCATCCTGCCAGCCCTGTCTGGGACCCCTGTCCTGCCAGCCCTGTCTGGGATCCTCATCTTGCCACCTCTATTTGGGACCCCCATGCTGCCAGCCCCGTGTGGTACCCCTGTCCCATCAGCCCTGTGTAGGACCCCCATCCTGCCGCCCCCATGTGTGACCCCCAGCCCCGTGCAGGTCTGACTGCTCTGCTGTCACCCCCAGGTCCCCACAGGACATCACCTTCGCGCTGGCAGACACCGTGGGGCTCCTGGCGGCCGTGGCTCCGGCCAACTCCATCCAGACCTACGTGTGGCAGCGGCAGTGAGGGGCGGTGACAATGACATGTGGCAGCGGCAGAGGGGCAGTGACAGTGACGGGCCGGACGTGCAGCCCCAGCTGCCCGCGGGCTCGGGCCGGGGGAGGCGCTCCCGGGGCCGCGGCAGAGCCGGAGGGGGGCCCCGGGGGCGCTGGGGTGTGCAGGAGGGCGGGGGGCACCGGTGCCCCTCAGGGTGGGGACCCCACAGGCTGTGGGCGCTGTGTTCTGCTGTTCCCACATTAAACACGGATGCTGCCTTGGTGTCTGCGGCTGGAAGAGAAACCTCCGGGTCCCTCCCCTGCTCCTGGGCACTGTGGCTGGGTGCCACGCCAGCGTGGAGCCTGCTGGAGCCTGGCGAGCTGGAGCATCGTGGGCAGCCCCTGTCCCTGCCCAGCCCCTCTCCCTGCCCAGCCCCTCTCCCGGGGCTCACCCTGCTGGGAGATGCTCCAGGCGTGAGTCTGCTCCCAGTTCTGAGCATGCACTGCCTGGCTGGGGCTGAGCAGAGCCCGGCTGTGCTCCTGCTGCTGTTGGGGACGGGTTTTAGGACCTAGCAAGTGGCTCGGGAGGCGCCCCAAATGCAGATGCTGCATCAGGAGCAGGCACAAAGCACTTGGAAACCCATCCTCGGTGGAAGGGCTGAGCCAAGTTCCAGTTTTCTGTGCTTTTCCTGCCAGTCTGGAGCCACCTGCAGCCTGATGTCAGGCCAGGGGCTGTGTGGGTCACACCCAGACCAAGGTCCTGAGGCCAGGGCTGGAGGCAGGGCCAGCTCCAGGGCTCAGGGTGGGGGCTCAGGGTGCCAGGCAGCTCTGGCTGAGCCCAAGCTGCTCCTGGGGCTCTTCTGGGACAGAGGGGCTGCCCAGGCTGCAGCAGCCCTGCCTGGAGCCTCCTGCTCCCCATGGGGACTGATCGAGGGGTCCCCACTGTGGTGAGGAGCCTGGGGGTGCACCAGGGGCTCAGCCAGCTCTGGCTGAGGTCAGGGCAGTTCCAGCTACTCCTGGGGCTTTTCAGGGACAGAGGAGGCTGGCCAGGCTTCAGCAGCCCTGCCTGGGGCCTCCTGTTCCCCACGGGGGCTGTTCTGGGGGGGTCCCCACTGTGGTGAGGAGCCTGGGGGTGCACCAGGGGCTCAGCACCCACCACAGCTCCGGGCTGCCTTGAGCAAGCGGGGGCAGGAGCGGCAGTGGGTGCTGAGTGTGGGCGCACCCAGGAAGGAGGGAGGCAGCTGCCAGGGCGTGAGAGCAGGAGATTAGGGCAGGGAGGTCATAATTTCAGGGCGAGGAGGGCGGCGGGGCCCCTGGGCTGAGCCGTGCGGGTGGGATGTGCCCAGGGGTGCTGTCAGGACTGACAGCCGCGATGCTGCGTGGGCTGAGCGCAGCCCGGGCGTGGCCGCTGAGTGACAGTGTCACCCTGGCACACCGCAGCCACGGGGATGCTGCTCCTGCGACCCTGCAGCTCCGGGAGCTGCCGCCAGAGTCCCGAGGAGAGCAGCCTGCTCCTGCCCCGAGGCTGTTGGTGTTTGTCCACAAGAGGGAAACGTTTCTCCAGGATCACGCAGCCAGTCCCATCCCCACCACCATCCCTCTCCCTGCGGGGCTGCTCCCCACCTGGTTCTCACTTACCTGGCCCGCTGCTAGAGCTGGTGGCCGGATGCTGAATCACCTTGGCCCACGTGCCCGGCTCCCTGCGCTCGCCTCGGTGCCCAGGGAGCGACTGGCTCCGGGATAAACGCAGCGGGGGCGAACCCTCCGACGTCGCTGGGCTTGGCTCTGCTCATTAATTCTTGTGCAAAGCCTTGGCTTGTGTGCGGCTCGGGTGAATGGGGGCTGCTGGGGTCCCACCTGGAGCCAATGATCACCCTGAGGATTGTCCTCACGTGCTCTGGGGTCTTGCTGTTGGGAAGGAGTGATGCTACACTGAGGCTCTTTGGCATAAATATTAACAAAGTCGTGATGCCCAGAAAGGTGACTCAGCCCAGCTCCGTGTCCCTGTGTCCCCATCCACACTGGCCCGGCTTAGGGACAAAATTCACCCTCTGGTTCCTGTGAGAACAAAATTCACCCTCTGACTCCTGCGAGGACAAAATTCACCCTCTGGTTCCTTTGAGAACAAAATTCACCCTCTGGTTCCTCTGAGGACAAAATTCACCCTCTGGTGCTTTTGAGGACAAAATTCACCCTCTGCCTCCTCTGAGGACAAAATTCACCCTCTGACTCCTGTGAGGACAAAATTCACCCTCTGGTTCCTCTGAGGACAAAAATCACCCTCTGCCTCCTCTGAGGACAAAATTCACTCTCTGGCTCCTGTGAGGACAAAACTCATCCTCTGGTTCCTGTGAGGACAAAATTCACCCTCTGGTTCCTTTGAGAACAAAATTCACCCTCTGGTTCCTGTGAGAACAAAATTCACCCTCTGCCTCCTCTGAGGACAAAATTCACCCTCTGGCTCCTTTGAGGACAAAATTCACCCTCTGGTTCCTCTGGTGGCCCCTTTGACCCCACCTCCTTGAACGAACCCACCCGAGAACTGCAAAGGGCTGTCACACCACGCCACGAGGCCCCTGCGACCCCCAGGAGCTCCCCCTCGTTGGAGCTTGGCCACAAGAAGCAGCTCTGGGGGCTTGGTGGGGCTCCTGGTATCTGCTGTGCCAGCAGAGGCGTTGCCCGGTCCCTGGCTCTCACTTTTCCTGCTCAGCAGGGCGCTCTTATCAGCTGCTGTTGATAAGGATGAGCTCCAGCAGCCTCCGCAGTGTTTTTCTTCCAGGAGCTGTGGGAGCTGAGCCAGCCGGGGGGCTGTGCTGGATGGGGGGCAGGAAGAGCTGGAGCTTGGAATAGGAAAGGGGTGAGTGGGGGCATCCTGGATGCCTGGAAGCGAGCTGGAAGGTGGCTGATTGCCTTAGGAGCTATTAATCCCTCCCCAAAATTGGGGCTCATTAGCCTGGGTGTAGCAGTCTGGTCACACCTTAATCACCCTTGGAGGTGGGAGAGCCACGGTGCAGCGGGACAGGGACAGGAGCTCCCTCCTGGGGCACCTGTTTGCCCCCTGAGGGGTCACCAGGGCCTCCCTGGCCCCATCTGCCCCAGCCCCAGTGGCTCCAGGTGTCTCATGGCTCAGCTCCCAGCACAGGGGTGGAACTGTGGCAGGGCCCACAGCAGGGCAGCGCTGGGGGTAGGAGGAAATTTGATAAATTGATTTGCCCCAGAGCTGCATCTGATATGCCAGAAATGGAGAAAATTAGTCACAAAGTGCTGCTCCACCCATGGAAGGAGAGCTAACGGAGCAGTTTAACCCTGTGCAGGGCAGCCCTGAGCTGCTGGTGGATGCTCCAGGCCAGCAGAGCTTGGCTGGGAGCTGTGGCCGCTCTCCATTCCCTGGGTGGAGGTGCTGAGGGTGTCCCCACAGTGAGGGGTACCTGTCCACAGCAGATGGCACCAGGGAGGGTCTGTGTGCCCAGGTGAGCTGGCCCAGTTCAGCCTCGGCTTGCTGGGCTGGAGGGTGGCTCCTGGAGAAGCAGGGAGTGCTACAGGAGCACCAGAGCTGCCCTTTGCTCCTGGAATGGTGTTGGGACAGCAGCGTCACCTTTGAGGGTCCACCTGCTGTTGTTGCCCCAGGAGCTGGGCTTGCTGTGCCACTGCTGTCACTGCTGCTACCTTCCCCAGCACATGCTGAGTTGGGGAGAGTGCTGCCAAAGGCTTGGGCAGGGAATGACAGCAGCCCCAGCTCCGTGTGGCCAGCCCTGCTGCGCCCCTAGGCTGCCCTGAGCTCTGCAGCCATGTTCACTGGCTTTGCCTGGGTGTCCTGGACCTTCCTGCACGGCCCTGTGGCTCCTGGGGGACAGTGGGGACAGCGGGGTGGCGGGCAGGGATAAGTGGGTGTCCTGTTGGAGGTGCCCAGCAGGACAGACAGCCGTGCCATCAGCCTGCCCTTGGCTCTGCTGGGCTCTCAGGGGCTCACCCACACCCTGCCTGACAAAATCATCAGTTCTTCCTTCAGCGGGGTCTCGGATCTGCCCCTGTGACAGGGGTGGACCTTTCACCCGGGCCCAGCTGCCAGCACCATGTCCCTGTCCCTCCTTGCCGTGGCAGTGAAGGGACCCGGCGGGAGCAGCAGATCGGCGGTCCCGGCCCCGGGGCAGGTACGGGCCGGGAGCAGAGCAAGGAGGAGCTGAGGGGGTGGGAGAGGCCGTGCTGCGGAGGGGAGGTCTCCGAGCAGCTCCCTGGCAGGCCAGGTGGGGAGGCTGCACTGCTGAGGAGGAGGAGGAGGAGGGCTGGCGGCAGCGCAGCTCGGGAGCAGCCGGGGTGAAGGCGGGTGCGCTGCGGGCTCCTGGCGGGGATGGACCCTCCCCAAGCAGGATCAGGGTGCTCGGGGGGCATGGAGGGTGCGGCAGGAGCTCCGTGGCACTGACCCCTCCATGTCCCTGCCGTGACCAGGGTGTCCCCGCCGCAGGTGCTGCTCCCCGGGACCTTCCAGAGCCGGGGGAACGCGGAGGGGCCATGGGGGCTGTCGGCATCCTGGGCTGGCTGCTGCTGCTGCCGGTGCCGCAGGTGGCAGGTGAGCACCGGGACGTCCGGGGGTGGCAGCGGGGCTCGGGCACCCCGGGGCAGCGCGGAGCTGGGCGCCCGGGAGGTGCCGGAGTGCGGAGCACGGGGACGGCGGCACCTCCGCGGGGCAGGCGGGGGAGCAGACAGGGACACGTCCCCGAGCCGCCACCCTCCCGTGCCTCCCAGGCGCCCGACCCTGCATCCCCAAGGATTTTGGGCACGGCTCGCTGGTCTGTGTCTGCAATGCCACCTACTGCGACACGCTGGACCCCGTGGTGGTGCCAGCCCCCGGCTCCTACGCCAAGTACGAGAGCAGCAAGGCCGGCAAGAGGCTGGAGAGGAGCGAGGGGAAATTCCAGAGCAGCCTGAGCACCAGAGGTACTGTCACAGGCGGGTGGCGGTGCCACCGCAGGGCCCCAGGCAGCAGGACCGAGCCGGGCTCTTCCCGCAGGGCTGCTGCTGACGCTCAACATCTCCGCGCTGCACCAGCACGTGAAGGGCTTCGGAGGGTCCCTCTCCGATGCTGCTGCCATGAACATCCTGAAGCTGTCCCAGGCAGCCCAGGACAACCTGCTGCGCTCCTACTTCTCCCAGAGCGGTGAGCAGCCAGAGCACGGCGGGGGGAGCGGGCCGTGGGGTCGCCAGAGGGGGCTGTGCCTGTCCCCGCTGCAGGGACATCGCCACCTGGATGCCAGCTCCGGTGCCTCTTGATGCTTTTCCTGCTCCTCAGGGATCGAGTACAACCTCATCCGGGTCCCCATGGCTTGCAGCGACTTCTCCGTGCGCCCCTACAGCTACGACGATGTCCCCAACGACCACGAGCTGAAGCACTTCAGGCTGGCGGACGAGGACGTGAAGATGAAGGTGGGAGGCTGAAGCCGCTGCCATCAGCACCTCTGTCCCCTCTCGTGCCGGGACCCCCGGGAGCGGGTGCTGCTGAGCCCTGCACACCGTGGCACGGTGCTTGGGGACACTTGTGGGAGCTGGCACCTCCTCCGGGGCACGTCCTGGCGCATCCCAGCTGGCAGTGGCAGGGTGAGCAGCCACGGCGCTGTGCCGGGGGTGGTGCTTGCCGGCTGCCAGCCCTCGCTGAGGTCCTTTCAGTTCTCCCGTGCTGCCGGGCCCTGTGGTTTTGGGGAGCCGCAGCTGGAGCTGACCCTGTCCCTCTGCCCCCTCCCACAGATTCCCCTCCTGCGCCGGGCTTTGGCCATGAGCAAGCGGCCGCTGCTGCTGTTTGCCAGCCCCTGGACCGCCCCAGCCTGGATGAAGAGTAACGGGGACGTCCGTGGCAAGGGGACGCTGAAGGGGAAGGCAGGGGACAAGTACCACAAGACCTGGGCCAACTACTTCATCAAGTATTGTCTGGAACCAGCCCGGGATGGACAGCGGGAGGATCGGTGGGTGGGGTGGGGTCTGGGGAGGGGGCAGCACAGCTGATTCTGCCCCCAATTCTCCGCACCAGGTTCCTGGATGAATATGCAAAACGCAACGTGACCTTCTGGGCGGTGACGGCACAGAACGAGCCGCTGGCGGGGCTCTTGACGCCCCCCCAGGCCCCCACCATCGCCTTCACGGCCGCGCAGCAGCGGGATTTCATCGCCCGGGACCTGGGCCCCGCGCTGGCCCGCAGCCCCCACCGCACACGGCTGCTGATGCTCGACGACCAGCGCATCCACCTCCCGCACTGGGCCAAAGTGGTGAGGAGCAGCGCCCCTTCCTGCCCTCAGCCCCGCTCCCCAGCCCCAGGCTTTGTGGGAGATGGAGCCCTGGCCTCTCCCAGCCCTAGAGTGGGAGCAAACCGGGTCTGCCGGAGCCGCCTCCGCCCGTGCCCGGCGGCAGTGAGGACAGGAGGTGGCACTCACACCCCGGATCCCCGGGACCTGGCAGCACCTTGGCCGGGCAGAGTTTTGGCTGGTTTGGTTTCACCCCCACGGTGCTGTTTGGGGATATTGCCTAGGAATAGGAGGAAAATATCCTAATATTAGGAGGAAAGAAAGTAAAAACGTGCTGCTCCCTTGCCTCCATGGCTGCACCACCCCAGGGGGGTGTGGAGGGAGCACCAGGCAGCAGGAGGGGGCAAGGGGCCCGCTGAGGGGCAAACCTGTGCCCACCCCCTTAGCACTGCACCCAGCGAGGTGCCCAAGCCACGTTGGGGCAGCAGATCCATGCTAGGGTGCTGCTCCAAGGGGTGCAGTGCTGCAGCGTGTGGTGCCCACGGGAGGTGGCCCTGAGAGACCACATGGAGTCCGTGAGTCCATCCCTGCAGGCTTCAGGCGTGGGTGGGCTCGGTGTGAGACATCTCCCTTGCTCCCCAGGTCCTGGGGAATGCCACGGCTGCTCGCTACGTGGCTGGCCTGGCCGTGCACTGGTACCTGGATGCCATTGTCCCACCTGGCTGCAGCCTGGAGGCCACCCACAAGCTCTTCCCTGACCATTTCCTCCTCTACACGGAGGCCTGCACTGGCTTCTTCACCTTCCGCTTCGCCGTGTCCCTGGGCTGCTGGGAGCGGGGAGACCACTACAGCTACAGCATCCTGACGGTACAGCCCCCAGACCCCCTCACACCGCCCACCCGGGCTGGGGCAGCCCCCCTCAGCCCCTGCCCTGCCCCACCAGGTCATGAACCACTTTGTGTCTGGCTGGACCGACTGGAACCTGGCCCTGGACCTTCAGGGAGGCCCCAACTGGGTCAAGAACTTTGTGGACAGCCCCGTCATCGTGGACGGCAGCAAGGATGTCTTCTACAAGCAGCCCATGTTCTACCACCTGGGGCACTTCAGGTGGGTCAGGGGGGCTCGGGGGCTGCCACCAGCCCCAGGCCAGGGGCAGAGCCCCTCTCCTGGTGCTGTCCCCACAGCAAGTTCATCCCCGAGGGCTCCCGGCGGGTGGGGCTGCACAGCAGCGGCCGCTGCCTCCTCTGCCAGCTGGAGCACGTGGCCGTCCTGCGCCCCGACGGCGCCCTTGTCCTGGTGGTCCTCAACAGGTCAGCCCAGGTCCTCAACGGGGGGTGGGGGTGGTGCTCAGCCCCAGCCCTGCCGGCCTGCTCAGCCCCTCTTGCCCCCCAGGTTTGGCCGGGATGTGCCCTTTGGGATCCAGGACCCCGCCATGGGGTTCATCGAGGCTGTGGCTCCAGCTCACTCCATCCAGACCTACCTGTGGCGCCAGCAGTGATCGCCAGGGGAGTGCTGGGGGGCTCAGGGGGGCTCTGGGGGTCAGCTCTTCCTGCACCCTTTCCAGCATCCCTCACGGCTGGGAGCAGAAGGTGATGCCCTGCCAGGAGTGCAGCCCCCGCACGAGGGGCTCCGTGCGCTCCCGGCACCGGGACCTGCTGCTCCCCAGCCTCCCCTCCCTCCCGGCGCTTCCCATCCCCCTGGAAGCTCCCCCTGCACCGTCTCCCGGAGCACACTTCCACACGTGGCCCCCTTGAAAGCTTCGCGTGTGCGGCGGGCGCCAAGTAAAGCCATGACGCGCTCCCTGCGGAATGCGCCCTTCCCGTCAGCGTTTCCTCTGCGCGCTCGGAAATCGCTCGGTTTTCCTCGCCGGGGCCAGGGCTGCCCCGGGGGCTCCGGCCCCCGTGGCCTGCGGGTGGCTCCTTGTTTATCCCTGCAGCTGGAGCCTCCGCTGCTGCCAGCCCTTGATTCGTTCCATATGTGCTGTTGGTTTTCCCCAGCTTACTTTTTTTTGAGGGGGAATTTAAAAAAAAAAAAATCCAAATGTCAGACGCTGTCGGAAAGGCAGAGTAAATGATATCAGTGTCCCCATCCACCAAACCTGACGGACGAATTAGGCTGGTGCCACCTCTCCAGGGTGGCCTCTGGACAGAGTCCCCTCTATTCTGGCTGTGGCCAGCACCGGCCGCAGCCCGCAGTGACCTCCCCGTCCTGTTTGCCTTCCCTAAATACCAGTTTCAGTATTCCCTGTGCCTTTGGGAACGTTACCAGCACCTTTGAAGTACAGGAATGAGAAAGCCAGAGCTCTCCTTGGCCAATGCCCCTGTGTGGGAGCCACGGAACTGCTGAGGTTGGGGAAAATGAAAACCCCAGAGGATTTACAGCTGGTTTATTGGAGTGTGGTGTGAAGGTGGCACCGGGCTCCGTCCCAGCCTGTTCCTGGAGCACACCAGCCTGTCCTGTGCTTTTATCCATGTTCCTGGGGAGTGCTGGCCCCAACGGCAGCGGGGTCTGGCTGCCTGTGCTTGGAATCACAGAATAGAGTCATGGAATCCTTGAGGTTGGAAAAGACCTCGGAGATCATCAAGCCCAACCGTTCCCTCAGCGCTGCCAAGGCCAGCCCTAAATCACGTCCCCAAGTGCTCCTTACACGTTCATTAAATCCCTCCAGGGATGGCAACTCCACCACTGCCCCAGGCAGCCGATGCCAGGGCCGCACAGTCCTGCCCATGAAGACATTTTCTTTAATATTCAACCTAAATCTCTCCTGGGAAACGCCACAGCTCTCCTGATGCAACTTGAGGTCATTTCCTCTTGTCCTGTCCCTGTTGCCTGGGAGCAAAGCCTGACCCCCACCTGTCTGTCCCCTCCTGTGAGGAGCTGTGCAGAGCCAGAAGGTCCCTCCTGAGCCTCCTTTTCTCCAGAATGAGCTCCCCCAGCTCCTCCTGGAGCTCCAGACCCTCCTCAGCTCCATCCCCTTCCCTGGACATGCTCAGACCCCTCCTCAGCTCCATCCCCTTCCCTGGACATGCTCAGACCCCTCCTCAGCTCCATCCCCTTCCCTGGACGTGCTGCAGCCCTCATGAGGGGCACAGAACTGACCTCCAGGATTCGAGGTGTGACCTCATCGGTGTCCAGCACAGGGACACTGCCCTGCTCCTGCTGCCACACCGTTCCTGACACGTTGGGAATGTCCCCTTCCCAAGGGACACGAGAGCTCTGCTGTGCTGGGATGGCTCACACGGAGCTCTCACCCCCGTGTCCAGCAGGAGGAGCAGGGCCTGGGGTGGGGGTGTGTTGGGGAGGTGTTTTCTTTGTGGGAAGGGACTCTTGGGGTACGTTCCTTGAGCTTTATTTGCAGCATCAGCCTCATTACATGATTCAGCCAATAAAAAGATGGTAAAGCTCAGGTACAGCCAGCAGCAGCTGAAGATTTATTTGTTACAGAGCACTTGAAAAACTTTCTAGCCAATAGTAATTACAAAAGCTTACAGACAATTGTTTCAGCCAATTACTAAAAGTACTAAAAGTACTAAAAGTGCTCATTGTAACATTTTCTACGTTCAGCCTGCGCAGCTGCAGCCAGTTCTCTGTTCTGTTCCTAAGGCCTGCTCTTCCAGCTTGCTGAAAACCTCCTCACCTTGGCTGTTTCCCACGGGGGGCTGTGATCTCCAGCCGGGGGCTGTGGCCCTGCCTGGGGGCTGTGGTTCCTGGCTGGGGATGTGGCACTGAGTGAGGGGCAGTGGTCCCAGGGTGGGGGTCTCCTCCTGGCCACCCTCACCAGCTGCCCCAAGGGGACCCCGGGGAGCTGCCACCCCCCCGTGCCTCTGCCCTCCTCCTGTTTCTCCCGCGGAGCAGATGCCTGTAATTAGGAAGGATCCCAAATTAGACGGTGTGGAGCCCAGACTTGTTTTGCCGATGATAAACCGCTGCTGCTGGCTCCACCCAGCCCACGGCATGGAGCTCCGGCCTCGGGGGCACGGCGGGGGCGAGGGGACCGGGGCGGGCTGTGCCCACCCCAGGAGGGGTCGGGAGTCCCTGCCCTGACCGGCTGCTACCTCTGCCCGTGCCAGGAAAGGTCCTGGAGCAGCCACAAACGGGACACAGGTCGTGGTTGTGGCACTGGTGGTGGCAAAGCCGAAGTGCTGCCAAGAGCAGGGAGCCAGCGTGGGCACAGCCAGCCCTGCCCGAGGTGTCCCAGGGGCACAGGGCTGCTCCCGTGGGGCTCTTCCTGGTTGTGGGGGGTGATGGAGACACTCGGGGGGCTGGAGGGCGTCCTCCCCTCCCCAGCTTCCCTCTGGCCACTGGAACAGGTTTCAGGAGAGCTTTGCAAATGCTGCGGTGTGTGGAAAGCTCACTGGAGCCAGGTTGCAAAATCATCCCCAGGCTCCTCTTCAAACACAGAGTCCCATGAGCTGTCCCATTCCGAACTCACCTTTCCTGCTCCTCCAGAAGCGTCCCCTCCCACCAGGCACAGCCGGGACACGGGACCCGCCACCGCTGCCACAGAGCCGCGGCAGCAGGAGCTGGTTTGGCAGCAGGTGAGTGCCCTGGGCCCCAGGTGCCTTCAGCAGGTGGGAATGGGGATGGAGATGGGCATGGGACAGCCCTGGGCAGCAGGACCATGCTGAGGCCGTGCCCTGGCCGAGCTGGGCATCGTTCCCTGGCAGGGAGTGGGAGGCAATGCAGGTGGGACAGCTGCCTGGCCCTGCTCCACATCCCACAAGAGCTCGGGGAGCAGCAGGGCAGCACCATCCCACCCTGCCAGAGGTCCCCAGGTGTCCTCAGCCTGGCACCGGGGTCCCGAGGCTTGGAGGTGGCTCCTCCTGTGCTCTCGTTGAGAGGCTCCTTGCCCAGCACCACGGGAAGGACAGGACAAGGTGTGAGCCCCTGCAGGAACAGGGGAATGTGGGGCTCTCCATGCCAGGGCTGGAGCCCCAAACCACTCTGGCAGGACAAGCCCCAGCCGCCAGGCATGTGGGATTGGGAGTGTGGAGCTGTTTGCTGCTGGGCATGGCTCGGGGGGCACTGGGGATACAGGGTGCAGCATGGCATAGCATAGCATGGCATGGCATGGCACGGCATGGCGCAGCTGTGGAATGGCTGAGGAGGGAGAAGGAGTGGGAGGGAGCTGATGGGAATGAACAAAGTTGCTGGGCACAGCCAGCGTGGGCAGCTAGGAGCAGCAGGCTGCAGGGGTGGCTCACGCCTGGGGGCTGCCCACACCTGGGGGGCTGCACCCCCACCTGGGACAGAGCCAGAGCTGCTGGTAGAGTCTGGAGGGGTGGGAGGGAAGAGGGGTGCTGGGCTGGAGCAGCGGGCAGAGGGCAGGACAGGCTTAGCCCTGGCAGGGAGGGGTCTGTGTGATGTGGGCAGTGGGATGATGCTGGGGCTCTCCCTGCCCTGTCTCTCTGTCCCTGTGTGTGGCTGGGCCAGGCTGAGAAGCTCGGGGTGCTGACACCTTGCTCTGCTCCCAGCGTGTCCATCGGCATCGTCGGAGCCGCCGCAGCAGAGGTGCCATGGGGGCAGGCTGTGCCATGGGGCCAGGCTGTGCCAGTGTCCTGGGCTGGCTCCTGCTGGCACAGGCAACCCTGCAGGCCACAGGTACGTGCTGGCACATGTCCCTGGGCTTTGGAGGGTGGGAATTTGGAGTCTGTTGTGGGTCAAAGGGATGAGCTGGGCTCCTGCCACAGCCCTGGGTGCCCACCCGCTCCTTCCTCTGCTGCAGGTGGCCGTCCCTGTGATGCCAAGGATTTTGGGCATGGCTCGCTGGTCTGTGCCTGCAGTGCCATGTACTGTGACACGCTGGACCCCCTGGTCCTGCCAGCCCCCGGCTCCTACGTCAAGTACGAGAGCAGCAAGGCCGGCAAGCGGCTGGAGCGCAGCGAGGGGAAATTCCAGCACAACGCCAAGAGCCCAGGTGCCACCCTGGGCTGCGGGAGGGCCTGTCCTCCACGGCAGGGCGGGCTGGTGACACTGTGTGTCCCCACAGATTTCCACCTCACCCTGGACACGGCGCAGAGGTTCCAGAAGGTGAAGGGCTTTGGTGGCTCCATCACTGATGCAGCTGCCATCAACATCCAGTCCCTGTCCAAGGCTGCCCAGAGCCACCTGCTGCGCTCCTACTTCTCCGAGGAAGGTGAGCCCAAAGCTCTTGGGGTCTGAGATTTGTTCTGAGGGGCTGGGGGATCTGGAGCCCCCAAAATCAACTGGAGGATGGCCATCACCCCCTGCCCTGTCCTCAGGCATTGAGTACAACCTGGTGCGGGTGCCCATGGCCAGCACTGACTTCTCCGTCCGCCTGTACACCTACGCCGACGCTGAGGACGACTTCGAGCTGAAGCACTTCAACCTGACCGAGGAGGACACGCACATGAAGGTGAGTCCTGCAGGAGGATCTGAGGGACTGGGGCTGCTGCAGGCAGGGGATGGGACGGGATCCATGGGATGGGATGGGATCCATGGGATGGGATGGGATGAAATAGGAAGGGGATCACTTCCAATAGGGAGGGAGAGGACTCATTTGTATTCCTAGGTGGGATGGGGAAAGGGAACACCTTCCTGCCTCTGGGGAGGGAGGTGACTCCTCCTGCTGTCCAGCACTGGGACAGACCCAGCAATCTCTGTGCCATCCCACTTCTCCCTAGATCCCCATCCTCCAAGCAGCCCAGGCAGTGGCCAAGAGGCCGCTGTCTCTCTATGCCAGCCCTTGGACCTCCCCGGTGTGGATGAAGACGAATGGAGCAATGACAGGGAGGGGAACACTGAAGGGCAGCCCTGGGGACAAGTACCACCAGGCCTGGGCCAAGTACTTTGTCCGGTGAGGAGCCACGGGAGTGTGGTGGATGCCAGGGGTGCCATACCTGGAGCTGGGGCTGGCACAGGTGTGACGGGGCCGTTCACCTCCTATCCTACGCCAGGTTCCTGGATGAATACGCCAAACACAACCTGACCTTCTGGGCAGTGACAGCAGGGAACGAGCCCACGGCTGGTGAGATCGTCTTCTATCCCTTCCAGTGCCTGGGCTTCTCCCCTGAGCACCAGAGGGATTTCATTGCCCGGGACCTGGGCCCGGCGCTGGCCAACAGCTCCCACCGCCACGTCCAGCTCATCATCCTGGACGACCAGAGGGTCATGCTGCCCTACTGGGCCGAGGTGGTGAGTCCCCACAGCAGCTGTCCTGGCCCCACAGCTCATCTCCCAGCCCTGGGCAATGGTGACCCTTTTCTCCTGCCAGGTTCTCAAAGACCCTGTGGCTGCCAGCTACATCAGCGGCATCGGCATCCACTGGTACCTGGATTTCCTGGCACCCATCGACCTGACGCTCTCCATCACCCATCACCTCTTCCCAGACTATTTCCTCCTCTCCACCGAGGCCTCCACAGGCTCCTACTTCTGGGAGCCCAGGGTGGTCCTGGGTGGCTGGGACCGTGGGAGCAAGTACAGCCACAGCATCCTGTCGGTAGGGCCTGGTGGGAGCCGTGGGCACGCTGCCCACCCTGGCCAGCCCCGGGGCCTGCCCGTGGCTCAGTACCACCCCCTGCCCTGCAGAACCTCAACAACTACGTGACGGGCTGGACCGACTGGAACCTGGCCCTGGACCTGGAGGGAGGCCCCAACTGGAGCAAGAACTACGTGGACAGCCCCGTCATCGTGGACAGCAGCAAGGATGTCTTCTACAAGCAGCCCATGTTCTACCACCTGGGGCACTTCAGGTGGGTCAGGGGGGCTCGGGGGCTGGCTTCAGGCACCAGGTCCTAGGTACCACACTCTGCTTGTCCCCACAGCAAGTTCATCCCCGAGGGCTCCCAGCGTGTGGGACTGGCTGTCTCCAAGAAGTGCCACCGCTGTGACCTGGAGCACTCGGCTTTCCTGCGCCCCGACGGCGCCGTGGTGCTGGTGGTGCTGAACCGGTGAGTGGCTCAGTTCTGGTCCCCGGAAAAGGCCCCACTGACCCCACTGAGCCTCCTGCTTTCCCCACAGCTCCCCCACGGATGTGTCCTTTGGGGTGTCTGACCCGCACGTCGGCTTCATCGAGGCCGTGGCTCCCAGCGACTCCATCCAGACGTTCCTCTGGAAGCAGCCAGCCTAGCCTGGCACAGGAGAGGTGCCAGCGCCAGGAACACGCTGCTGGTGCCAGCTTGGAGAGAAGACTCCAACGGGCTTGGGGCTGCAGCACATCCCCTGCGGCCCAGAGGACCTGTTTCACCCTAGGGCTGCAATGCTTGTGCTTTTCTAGATGTTTCATAAAATAAACAGGTTTTCTACAAACTTGTCTGAACCCCTGACGTCCCCTTGGTGCCAGCTCAGTGGGCAGGACTATGCCAGGGGCAGAGGAGGCAGATTTGCGTCCCCATGGGTGCCATCCCTCCTCTGCCCAGGTTCCTGAGCATCCCCCAGCGCTGGTGCTGCAGGGCTGTCCCCCTAAGGGGTGGCATCACTCTCCTGTCTTCCACTGCAGCATCCCCCAGGCAGGGAAGGGCCCAAAGCTGCAGTCAGGACACGCAGGCGGGATTCAGAGCAGAGCCCTGGCGTCGGCAGCTCCAGCTTCTCCCCGGCCAGAGCAGGGGGCTGTGCTTTCTCCTGCTGGAGCAGCCACCAGCCCCTCCAGCTAATGGGAACCGGGAGCACGGGGCGCATAGTTCCTGAGTGACGTTAGAGGGGAGCGGGCTGGGGGGGGGTTTGCACTGAGTCATCCCCCTCCCAGCGGGGCCCCTCGAACTGGGCCAGTACGGGGGAGGCTCCGCAGCTGGCCCAGCACCGTGGCTCTGCTCCAGCCCGGTGTGGGGGCCCCTGGCTGCTGCAGCCGGGTGCGGGGGGGCACGGCAGCGCAGCCTGGGGACATTCAGCCACCGCAGCAGCGCTGGGATGCCGCTGGCGGTGGCAGCCGGCGGCCAAACAAGCGAGGGCTGTGTGCCGGGCTGGCCCCACGCCGCCTTTCCATCTGCGCATCCCGAAACCCGCAGCGGCCACGCCGGGTGGCCCGGGGGAGCGCGGGGGCAGCCGGAGCCCAGGCGGCCGCCCCCGACCCCGCTGGCAGCCCAGGCGGGGCCGTGCCAGCTGCAGGAGCTCCCCGGCGCTGGCAGGCGCGCTGGAATGCAAACAGATGTCAGCGCTGGAGGGATCCCGGCTGCTGGAGCGGGGCTCCGGGTGTCCCGCTGGCAGCGGGGAGCGCTCCCGGGCTGGGGACGTGTCCTGACGAGCAGCCTCGGCTGCCCTTGGCTCTGCTTTTGTGTCTCGGCTGTGCTGCCGAGCTGGCAGCGGCGTGGAGGGGAGGTACCAGCCCTGCAGAGCTGCTGTCTGCACTGCCTCGAGGGCTGCCACATGGGAGTGATGCAGGGGAGATGTGGGGCTCGGCCCCACAGCTGCTGGGGAAGGGACAGGGACACTGCTCAGATGCTTTTAGGTCCCCCCTATGGGACCTCAACACCCAAAACCGGAGTGAGGGGCAGAGCCACAGGCACGACCCATTGGTGCCTGCTGCAAAACCCCAGCCTGGGCAACTGGGGAAACTGGGAAGGGCCTTGGGGGTGCTGGGAGTACGAGAGGGTGCAAGTGGAGAGAGGGAGGTTTATTGGTGTGGCAGGGACTGAGGCTCCCGGTGGGACACCGAGCAGAGCAGCAACGCTGCCAGGCTTCCAGAGTAAAAACAGTCAGTTCCAGGGGCTGTGAGGGAAACAGCCACACAGCTCTTCCTCACTCCTCCTCCTCCTCCTCCTCCTCCTCCAGGGCGACGGGCTGCCGGCCGGCCGGCCCCACGCCGCCGCGCTGGATGGAGACGATGCCGCTGAGGAAGGCGTAGCCCAGCATGGCCACCAGCCCCACCAGCACCGACAGCAGCTGCTTGCGCCGTTTGTGGGGGTCCTCCTCTGCCTCGCTGCTGTCCGTGCCTGCAGCCCGAGGGGCAGTGCTCAGGGGGTCATCTGGAGGGGCACAGGGGTCAGCTGGGGGTGCGCCGGTCACCCCACGGCCGCAGGGTGAGGCAGGGGGTGGCTCTCACCTCCGTCCCAGGGGAAGTAGAGGCTGAGGATAGAGGTGCAGTAGTTGCACAGGTTCTGCAGGGACTTCAGGTGCTGCTGCAGTTTCCCGTTGGGCAGCTTGGCCTTCAGGAGCGGCGCCAGGCGGCTGAACACTAAGGCGTCCAGGGAGGCTGGTCTGGGGCACAGGGAGCCGTGCCTGGGCCACTGTCCCCACCCATGGCCACCCAGACCCACCAGGCACCCCCAGGGCACAGCACGTGGCTCCCCCTCCCTGGGACAGTCCCCCAAGAGCCTGTTCCACCCCCAAAGTGGCTGCAACCCCCCTGAAGACCACGGGGTCTCAGCCCTGCTGGGGTGTGGGGGGCTCTCAGGCCCCTTCCCCTCCCCACTTTGGCCACCTACGAGTCTCCAAAGAAAAACTTCTGGGAGCCGAGGCGCTGGGAGAGGAGTGTCAGGCATTCCCGGGCTTCCCGGTAGAGCTGCAGAGGAGGACAGAGGGTTGTCACCTGCCCAGGTACCACCACAGCGCTCAGGGCAGCCGGGGGGGAACCCAGACCCCAGTTTGGATTTTGTCAGAACCAATCTTAAAGGTGCAAAACAGATGAATGGGGATACGAGCATCATAAACTCACCCCTGGACAGCCTCACAGGGATTTCCCATTGCTCCCAGACCCCATTCCTCACCTCTTTCTCCACCTTCTCCTCATCCTCCATGTAGTCGTCCCCCCAGATGAGCTGCAGCCGCTCCAGGTGCCGCTTGTGCATGGCGTTGGGCAGGAAGAAGTTGAGGGGGAAGGGGATGGTCTCCGCGTACCATTTCCGCGTGTGCTCCACGTAGTTCTTGGCATCCACCCAGAACGTGTGGATCTGTGGTGGAGAACAATCCACAGCCTGGCCACGGCAGAGCTGCTGGCACAGCAGAGCCCCTGCCTGGCACAGCCACCCTGGAGACCATGAGGGGCTGCAGGAGCACTAGGGCCAAGGGCAGACCCCAGCCTGGGCTGCACAACCCACGGCTGCCACCCCAAACCCCATCCCAGCCATGCCAGGCTCCCAGGAGGTTGCTGCTGGCATCTGGGCACACCCAAGCCTGCTTGCACAGCTCCAGGGAGCAGATCCCATCCCCAGCAAGCCCCCCTTCCCCGCAGCCTCACCAGCACTGGCAGCAGCTTCTCCTCCAGCAGGGACACGAAGGCCAGCGTGTCCGCGCTCTGCGTGGCCGACAGGTCGTAGTCAGCGTTGTATTTCTGCAGAGAAAACCCCAGTTTGATCCCACAGGACGCCCCAAATCCCAGCCCTGGGTGACACAACAGAGTCCCCTCTTCCCTGAGGGGCCCCAAGCCCCCCTGTACCTGTTTCCTGAGGTGGGTGATGATCTGCTGAGGTTTGGAGATGGTGCCCTCGTCCCGTGTCCTCAGCGCGGGCAGGTGCCCTGTGGGCAGGGAGGGAGTGGGGGCTGCAGCCACTGTGCCCTGGGCAGGGGAGGGTGCGGGGGGCTGCAGTGGGGATGGACCCCCACGCCTGGATGGGGGGCACGGGCAGCGCAGGGGTGTGAGGTGAGGTGGGGACAGAGCAGTGCAGGGGAGGGGGTGGAGGCTGTGAGATGGGAAATGGGGAATGTGATGGGGAATGGGGAATGTGATGGGAATGGGGAATGTGAGGGGAAATGGGGAATGTGAGGGGAAATGGGGAATGTTCCAGGAGAAGGGGGGTGTGGTGGGGATGGACAGGGGAGTGCAATGGGGAGTGAGGGGACAGGGGAGCAATGGGGGAACAGAAAAAAGGGGGGTGCAATGAGAGTGTTCAATGGGACACAAGTCACAATGGGATGGGGGGTGCAGTGGGACATGGGGTGTGGTGGGGCATGGGGTGCAATAGGGCAAGAGGGGGTGTGATGGGACAGGGATGGTGATGAGAAGGCGGGGTGGGGATGGGACAGAGGGGAGTGCAATGGTGGGGGGACACACAACGGCGTACAACGAGATGAGAGGGTGCATCCCAGGACACGAGCGGTGCTATGGGGTGGGAGGGTGTGATGAGGTACAGGGGGTGCAATATGGCAATGGTGGTAACGGGGCAGGTGTGTGATGAGGTACAGAGGGTGCAATAGGGTAATGGTAATGGGGCAGGGGCTGTGATGAGGTACAATAGTGCAGGATGGTGATTATGGGGCAGGGGGTGTGATGAGGTACAAGGAGTGCAATATGGAAATGGTGGTAATGGGACAGGGGGTGTGATGAGGTACAGGGGGTGCAATATGGAAATGGTGGTAATGGGGCAGGGGGTGTGATGAGGCACAATAGGGTAGGATGGTGATTATGGGGCAGGGGGTGTGATGAGGTACAAGGGGTGCAATGTGGCAATGGTGGTAACGGGGCAGGGGGTGTGACAAGGTACAGGGGGTGCAATATGGCAATGGTGATAACAGGGCAGGTGTGTGATGAGGTACAGGGGGTGCAATATGGGAATGGTGGTAACGGGGCAGGGGGTGTGACAAGGTACAGGGGGTGCAATAGGGTAATGGGACAGGGGGTGTGATGAGGTACAATAGGGTAGGATGGTGATAACGGGGCAGGGGTACAGGGGGTGCAATAGGGTAGGATGGTGGTGCCACGTGGGGAGCAGAGGCCCTAGGGCAAGAGAGGTGCACTGGGACAGGAGGCTGCAATAGGGCAGGGGGTCAGCGGTGTGGGGCCACAGGACGTGAGGGATCAGACGGGCTGGGAGGCTGAAATGGGGTGGGGGGCGTCACGCGTGGAGGGTGCAGGGGTGGCGAGTGGGACCACGGGGCTTGCACGGGGTGGGGGGGGGTCCCGGCGGTGCTGCCGGTATCCTCGGCGGGGCCCTTACCGGAGGGGCTCCTCCAGGGGCTGGTGACCCGGTGCACCTTCAGCGGCGCCCCCGTGAACCGCGCGTAGGTCTGCGGGAGGCAGGGACGCGGGGATAGAGCGGGGTCTGCCCGCGGGACCCCCGCCCGCCCCGCCCGGCCCCGGCGCTCACCAGCACGGCCAGGCAGTCGGGATCCACCGAGGGCAGCCCCCAGCCCCCGGCCCAGCAGAACAGCTCCATGGGCGCCGCCATCTTCCGCCGACCCGGAACCGGACGGGCAGCGCCGCGCCCGCCCCCGCCGCGGGGCGGCACCGCCGGGGGTCCCGGCCGTGAGCGGAGCCCGGCGGGGCCGGAGCGGTGTGGTGTGTGCGGGGCCTTTGGGGCGGAACGCGTCCCGCTCCGCACGGCTCGGCTCGGCTCGGCTCGGCTCCACGCTGCTCGGCCCCGCACGGTGTCACAGCCCTGCTATGATCCGCACGGTGTCACAGCCCTGCCATGTCCCTCATCGTGTCACAGCCCTGCCATGACCCCGCACCGTGTCACAGCCCTGTCGTGCCCCGCACGGTGTCACAGCCCTACCGTGCCCCGCCTGTCCCCGCACGGCTCAGCTCAGCTCCACTCTGCTCGGCCCCGCACCGCACCACACAGCCCTGCCGTGCCCCGCACCGTGCTCACAGCCCTGCTATGATCCGCACGGGGTCACAGCCCTGCCGTGTCCCGCCTGTCCTCGCACAGCTCAGCTCAGCTCCACGCTGCTCGGCCCCGCACCGCACCACACAGCCCTGCCGTGCCCCGCACCGTGCTCACAGCCCTGCTATGATCCGCACGGTGTCACAGCCCTGCCGTGTCCCGCCTGTCCCCGCACAGCTCAGCTCAGCTCAGCTCCACGCTGCTCGGCCCCGCACCGCACTGCCATGTCCCGCATCGTGTTCACAGCCCTGCCATGACCCCGCACCGTGTCACAGCCCTGTCGTGCCCCACACCGCACCACACAGCCCTACCGTGCCCCGCCTGTCGTGCACGGCTCAGCTCAGCTCCACGCTGCTCCACCCCGCACCGCACAGCCCTGCCGTGCCCCGCACCGTGCTCACAGCCCCCCTGTATCCCGCATGCCTCTGCATTGCCCCGCACCGCTCAGCTCCACGCTGCTCACCCTGTTCGGCCCCGCACCGCACAGCCCTGCCGTGCCCCGCATCTCTCTGCATTACCCCGCACAGCTCAGCTCAGCTGAACCCTGCTCCACCCTGCTGTGCCCCGCACCGCACAGCCCCGCTGCGCCCTGCATCTCTCTGCGTTGCCCCGCACCACTCAGCTCCACACTGCTCTGTCCTGCTCAGCCCCGCACGGCCCCACATTGCCCTGCACGGCTCAGTTCGGCTCGGTTCCACACTGCTCACGCTTCTCGGTCCCGCACCGCCCAGTCCTGCTGCGCCCCGCATCTCCCCGCACTGCTCAGCTCAGTGCAGCTCCGCGCTGCTCACCCCGCTCGGCCCCGCACCCCCTCGCAGCTCTCGGCGGACAGCAGCCGGGCCGGGAGCCCGCTGGCAGCGGCGGAGGGAAAACGCCCCGTGTGCGGCTCGGGACCACCGCCCGCACCCCCTCGTTACGCGGGATCGCTGGCGCGGAGCCGGCCCGGGGGCGCGGGGCTGGGGCAGCCCCGGGGCCGGGCTCGGCCGGTTGTTATGGCACCGGGGGAAACAGCTGTAAACACGGCCGGGACGCCGCGGGCCGCCCGCCCGCCTTGGCCGGAGCTCCGCGGGAGCGGCTCCGCGGCCCGAGCATCCCCCGGCGGTACCGAGCGGCCCCGGGGCTCTGCCGGCCCGCGGGGCTCCGCGCCGTGGGGCACCCCACGGCCCCGCGGCCGGTGCCGCTCTGCCGGGCCGGGATGCTCCCCAGCCCCCCCGCCTGACCTCCCGGTGAACCGGCGCTGTGCACGGGGGCTGCCCCGGCGCCGGCAGTGCCGGGGGGTCCCCGAAGCCCCGGGCTCAGTGCGCCTCGCCGGCGCGGTGCCCCCCTCCGGGGCCGGAGCCGCGGCCGGTGGCCCGCCGGTGTCCCCGGGATGCGCCCGGTGATTGACGGCTCTTTGTTTCCTCCTCGCCGGCCCCGCCGGCCCCTCCCCCGTGCGCCACCCCGCCCCGCCGCGCTCCGCTCCGCACCGGCGGCACCGGCGGCACCATGGGGGCACCGGGGAGCCCCGCGCTCCTGGCGCTGCTCCTGCTGGGCGCCGCCGCCGCGGCGCGGCAGGAGCTGCAAGGTACCGGAGGGGCTCGGGGCGGCGGCGGGGCGGCCCCGAAGGGGCGGCGGGACGGGAGACACTCGGGGGGCGGCGGCGGCAGACCCCGTCCCGCGGCCGCTGACAGCGGCTCTGCTCGCCCCGGGGGAGCCGGGCTGCGGGCACCGGGGACGCTGGAACGTTCACCGCGCGGCGCCGGTGCTGGCTCGGGGCCGCGGGGAGTGCCGCGCCGGGGGCTGACCCCGCACCGCAGCCCCTCTCGGACTGCCCGGTGCGTCTGCACGGAACGGGAGGGCACCCGAGCGCTTGTCCGCGCTCCCCGCTAAGCGCCCCGAGCCGGTATCGGGGGCCCGACGGTCCCTCCAAGGTCTCCCGGTCCGGCTGCCGCTTACTGGGGCTGGCCCGCGGGGAGCTCCGCGGAGCGGGATGCGGGGAAGCCCCAAGAGCGGGGCGGGCTCCGGGACTCTGCCGGTCTCGGCGGTGCGGGGGCTCCGCGGGTCCTGCTCGGAGGCGCGGCCGGTCCTGGAGCGCCACCGCGCGGGGCGGGCCCGGAGCCCCCCGGGCTTCCCTGGTCCCCCCAGAGCCCGGCGGTCCAGGGACACCCCCACCCATCCCCGCTCTGACCGCAGCGGGCACCGGAGCCGGTGCGGTGGCGACCCCGGTGCTCGTGTCCCGCAGTCATCGACCTGCTGCTGGTGAGCGAGGCTCGGCAGATGGCCAGCGTGGCCCACAAGATCCGCATGGAGCTTCTGACCGTCAACGACGTGTACCTCCTGTCCACCTTCCGCCTGCCCCCCAAGCAGGGGGGGACCCTCTTCGGCCTCTACTCCAAGAAGGACAACACCCGGTGGCTGGAGGTCTCTGTCGTGGGGAAGATTAACAAAGGTGGGTGGGGATGGGCTGGCCCTGCTCTGAGCCAGACGGGGCTGAGCTCCCGCAGGGAAGAGCAACAGGCTCACACCGCCCTCGGGGTGCTGCCGGTGCTGGGGGGGAGCTGACGGCCCCTTTCCGCTGCAGTCCTGGTGAGGTACCTGCGGGAGGACAACAAGGTGCACTCGGTGAACCTGCAGCACGCGCAGGTGGCGGACGGGCAGAGCCACTCTGTCATCGTGCGCCTGAGCGGGCTGCGCAGGGACACGCTGAGCGTGGAGCTCTACGTGGACTGCAAGCAGACGGACTCCAGCGTGGGGCTGCCCGAGCTCTCGGAGATCCCCCTGGCCGAGGTGGAGTCCATCGAGGTGCGCACGGGGCTGAAGGCTTACCAGAGGATGCAGGTGAGTGCCAGGGGGATTGAGAGCCCAGCCAGTGCCCCCTTGGGGATGGGCAGAGCCCCCTCAGGCTGACTGCATCTCCCCACACGCATCAGGGGTTTGTGGAGTCGATGAAGCTGATCCTGGGAGGGTCCATGAGCCGTGTGGGGGCCCTGAGTGAGTGCCCTTTCCAAGGAGATGAGTCCATTCACAGTGCAGGTAACGGCTTGGGGGGCTTTGGGGGTCACGCGTGTGGGCCGTGGCACAAGGAGGTGGGGGGTGACAGCACAGAGGGATGTTCCTGTCCCTCCTGGCCTAGTATCCCCACACAGGTGGGAGCTGCAGTGCTGCACAGGAGTGACCATGTGAGGTGACGCTGCTGGGGTGTGACAGCAGCATTTGGTGATGTCTTGTCTCTCTCCTTGCAGTGACGAGCGTGCTGGCCTCCATCCTGGGTAAGTCCCTGCTCTGCTTCCCTCGCTGCCTGGCGTGAGGCGTTTGGGGCTGTACAGAGGCAGAAATCCCTGCACAGCCTGTCCCATGTGGGGTCAGAGGCTGTGGGGTGTGCTACAGGAAAAGAGCGCTGTGTGAGCAGAGGCTGTTAGGTGCCAACTCCTCCCAGCTCAGTGCCAATGGGCAGAGCAGTCTTTGCCACAGCCCTGGGAGACTTTGTCTGTGCTGGGAAGGGATTGACCTTTCCTTTCTGCTGCTGGCAGGTGAGCAGACCAAGGCACTGGTCACGCAGCTGACCCTCTTCAACCGGATCCTGACCGAGCTGCGGGAAGACATTAGGGACCAGGTGGGACTGAGGGCGTGCTGGCACTCCCTGGGCTGGATTTGCCCAGAGCACAGTGCCAGCACCCTCCTGATGCTCCGTGCTTTTCTACCTTGCAGGTGAAGGAAATGTCTCTGATCCGCAACACCATCATGGAGTGCCAGGTCTGCGGTGAGTGCTGGCCAGGCTCTGCTCCCACTTTGTGGGGCAAAGGGCCACCTTGTCTCACTCGCCTCTCCTCTCCTCAGGCTTCCATGAGCACCGGTCCCGCTGCAACCCCAACCCCTGCTTCAGCGGCGTGGACTGCATGGAGACCTACGAGTACCCCGGGTACCGCTGCGGGCCCTGCCCGCCGGGGCTGGAGGGCAACGGCACTCACTGCGCTGACATCGAGGAGGTGGGCACGGGCTGGGGGGCATCAGCAGCCCCGCCACTGCCAGGGCTGTGCAGGCAGAGGGTGTTTCCTCTGGGAATGCCCAGGCATGGCCTGGAGCAGCAGCCACCCTGCGGGATGCTGTGCCCAAGGGTGAAGTTTGTGTCTCTCCCGCTGTTGCAGTGTGCCCATGCCAACCCCTGCTTCCCCGGCTCCAAGTGCATCAACACAGTCCCCGGGTTCCGCTGCGAGCCCTGCCCCCGTGGCTATCGAGGCAACACCGTCTCTGGAGTGGGGGTGGACTATGCCAGGGCCAGCAAGCAGGTGAGTGCAATGCCATGGGACTGTGGGATCCCTGTGGGAGTGCAGGACAGCGTGGATGACGCGGTGCCTGTGGAGAAGGACAGCTTCCCGTGGGCAGGACTGGGCAGAGCCACCCACAGGGAGAGGTCCCAGGTGAGCATTCCTCCCACACTGCTCGCAGGTTTGCACAGATATTGATGAATGCAACGATGGGAACAATGGGGGCTGTGACCCCAACTCCATCTGCACCAACACGCTGGTGAGCAGCGCTGTCCCCCTCCCTCGCTGGCCCCCAGGGCCGCTCAGCTCCCTCATCCCACCCCTGCCCTCTCTCCCCCAGGGCTCCTTCAAGTGTGGGCCCTGCAAGTCGGGCTTTGTGGGCAACCAAACGTCGGGCTGTGTGCCACAGAGGTCCTGCAGCACTTCCACCTC